GGATGCTGGCCCCGTAGTCACATTTCCAAAGGCGAAGGCTGGCGGACGAGGGAGGACTACTACATGGGCGAGCACTAGAGAGGCAAAACCTAGGACTCCATCGAGTCTTCTGGTAGCAGATGGTGCTGGGGATTTGGCGGAGGATTTTTCAGTTTCTTCTTCTGAATGGGAAGAAGTTTGAATGCAGCCGAAGGCTGCAGGGGGAGTGTGCATGTTCAACAGAAACATGATGCACACGGAACCATTCAATGGCGACTGCCATTGGCTCAAGCGCTGGAAAAAGCGTGATCTTTTTGCATAGACATAACCATAGTCTCAAATGCGGGGATCTTTCCATGTTCGAAAGAGAGCGGCGGCTCATAGGTGGGTTTTTGCAATGTGTGTGCGCCTTTTTTGAGAAGCACACCTCTTGGCAGCCCTGAGATTCTTTGGAGCGCACCAACTCAGAAGCCGCAGCCTGCGGCCAGTCGAGGTTCGGCGAGGAGGAGGAGCTTCTCCGTGGCCCGGGCGGAGTTTCTGACAATTTCGCGGCCGGCTGCACCGCTCGGCTCTCGCCCTGCGCCAACTCCACACAGCCCTTGTTTGTGTCTCGCAGGGCACGCACAGCTTTTGCAGCGATTTGTTTGGAGTTCCATACAATGTGCATCACCAAGCTTCTCTCGCAAAGCGCCAGGGCGTGGAAAAGCCCGAGCATCAGAAGAAGGGAAACAGCCCTGAGCCCAGCCGAAATCTCTGTTTTTTCACAACAAGTTGGCACTTGATTAGTTTTGTGGTTTTTCGTTGGAAGGGACACCAACTGGAGGCTATCCATTTTGTCCACGCTATAGTTTTGGAATTCTCGAGTTTTTTTTGGAAAACTGTGAAAACCAACTCGAGTTTTCCAAAAATACAAAACAAGCAACAAACTTCAGACCTGGGGGACATGATCCGGGACATGGGCCTGATTCTTTTGTTTTTTGTTTGGAATTATCGAGGTGTTTTGCATTGTTTAACTGTCAAAAACCTCGAGATTTCCAATAAGCTCAACAGCATGCAGTGCTCTTTTTAGTGCTCGCACCACCCCGCAGAACCTCGTGGAACCCTCGTGGAACCCTCGTGAAACCCTGGTGGAGCCCTGGTGGAACCCTCGTGGAACCTTACCCCGGACGACCCCGAAGCTTATTTGGGCTGAGACCCCAAAGCTTTCAGCTGTTGGGGAAAAAACAAAGAAAACAAACAAAACAAAGAGTTTAGACCCATTGGGGGGTGGGTTATGATCTAGGACGTTTGTTTGTTTTTGGGAGTTCTTGATTTTTTTCGCTGTTTTTTTTTTTTTTTGGGGGGGGGGGCATTTTTGGGCATCTGTGAAAATCCTCTAAAATTCAGAAGAAAGAGAAAGAAGCAAAGGCCCAAACAGTTCTGACCCATTGAAAGGGGGGCATGCTCTAGGACATGGGCCTATGTTTGTTTCCTTTTGTTTATTTATCAAGATTTGTGCGAATTTCTCTCGAGACCCTGTGTCCCAGATGCAGCTGCAAAGGCAGATGCACATTCTTTGATGCCTAGCTTCCACATGCTTATATGTTCATGACAAAACACATGCTCAGGGCAACGTGTTCTGTTTAAGCCAGCGAAAAACTGGATTGTCACAGGGCGATCAGGTTGGCTGTGCGATCCAATAATTTGGATGAACTCCACGGCAATACAGATTGGTGGGACAATGTTTGGCCCACTCAATGGGGTAAACATATGATATATTAATGTGCTGGAAAAAACCCGTGGGCATAGGTGTCCTTTTTGGTTGTTTTCGTAGGGAAAAAGTAGATGGCCCTGGTTTGCCTGGTGGTTTAATCATCTACCAGGGCCATCTATTTCCCCTACAAGGACACCTATGCCGGTGGCGTCACGCGGAGGTTCACCGGGAAGAATTGGAAAGCTTCCGTGCAAGCCATCCTGGACCTGGAGGTGCCGCCTTGGGGCCGAGAGAGAGAGAGTTCCCAGGTCTCTCCCCACTCCAGGCAGGTAAAAGCTGTTTGGTTTCCCCATTTGAAGGGATGTGGATAAAACAAGTCATACGTGGAGTGTTTGGGCAGTGAGGAAAATAATCTCGATGGGTGGTGAGAGCCTCGAACGCGTGATTTGGATGACAAATATGAAGCCGTTCGGCTGGCCGGAGGCCTACTTGGAGTCAAGCGGCATCATCAAGGACTCCGGTTCCATCGCTGCCCGCCCCCCAGAGCCAAGCGAACGGATGCCCCGGCGGTGAGCTTCCTCGGGCAACCAGGAAGCTAGCCACTAGGACAAAACTCTTCAGAAGGTTCTGTGGTTCTTTTTTTTTTTTGCCTTTTTGCACTCACAAGTTTCAGGTCACTCAAGTCCAAGAATGTCTCAAAACTAAGAACCCCATGGCTGGATTTCTCTTTTGCCTCCAACCCAGAGGGTACAAGTACCTTCTAACGAGGTACTTAGACCCGGGCCCTTTTTACCTCCAAAAGCCATCCTCATGAGGTACTTGGACTCTTTGGGAAAACCACCAACCAGGGGCTTCCACCCCAAAAAGTCGACTCGCTCGCGAAATGCGAAGTCGCTCGGTTGAGGTTATGGACAACACTCACACGCTGAAGCCCATGAGCCGCTCGCTCAGCCGACGCCGGCTTTCGGCTTTCGCCTTTCGCCGGGGGGGGGTGCTGAAAGGATGCGGCCGGGTCTCCTAACGAATTTGGTTATGAGGGCGGACTACATATCTAGGTCCCCAAGCTAAGTGCCCTTTCTCACCCCCTTTTTGGGTTGGGAGGGTTCCCGTACTGAAATAGACTACAGGAAAGAGGGTTCTAACCTCTCTACTGGAGGGCCTAGATATTTCTGAAACATCAAAGCTAGTGAGTGACCGAACGACTATGGTGGCCAGACGTTTTTTGCTGCCTGGCAAGGATACGCCATTTGTTTTTGTCTCGGGCTGTTTTAAACATCGCCTGGTACTTTTCAGTCCTAGACCAAACCTCGTTTTGTTGGGGGAAGAATGGGGTACATACCCCGCTTTTCCCTTTTTCCCGGTAGTCGTGGATACATCGGTTCAAGTGAGCTTCCTTGTGGGCAATGCTTATCGCTTTTCTTTTCTTTTTTTGGGGGGGGGTTGGTGGTTTTTATTGGGGATTGTAGAGGGTAAGTGGGAAACCACTCCTAGCAGCCAAACCCCCAATCCAAGTCAGCGATTAGAGGGCAGCTGAGGTCACTCCGAGTTGCAGAAGCACCTCAGATGAGTGAGGCGCGTCAGGTTCAACCCTCCCAAACAAAAAATGGCCCCAATGGTTGTCCCTACTTGGAACCCAAGTTGGATGAAACTCCCGAGGTCCCCAATACCAGTGGTTCCGTTGCACTAGGCACCCATGTTGGAACCCTTGAAACACCAAGAGGGAAATTGGGCTCCGAAGGGGGATCCACTGGGTGTTATAGTACCCCTTGTTTCAACGGTTAGAATCCCAACGATTCCGTTGGGCAATTCACCGAGTCCGCTTGCTCCCATGTTCCCCTATCCCTTGGGTGAGACATGGGAGGAAGTCACACTGTTGCAAGAGAACAAATTACATCTCAACTCCTTTGTTCAATCTTGGAAAAACATTTGGTAGCCAAACACCCAAGCAGTTTTTTGACCCACTCAGTGAGAAATCCGGGCAAGTCCCTGTGTCTGTCACTTTAGGGTTGTGGTTGGCAACGGGTCTCAGAAACCCGCAGAACCAGGACATTCTGCAGAAAATCCTTTTCTCGGTGGGTATTTTGTAAATGTGCGGAATTTCCTGTATCCAGATTCTATGCTTGGGGCTTCTTTCAGGCGGACCCAAGCTGCGTCGGGGTTGCAGGAGCGGAACGAGATGGACTCGCACAAACTCGCGCAGGGCGACAGGCCTGGGAGGGGAACTGACTGGAAGCTTACGAGTGAAAAGCCTCTGAGCTCTGCTGTTGGCTTGGATCTGTAGACTTGAACTTTTTGGATTCCCCTGATGCATTTTCTTTTAACCAGCAAACAGTTTTTTTCTTTTTGCTGGGGGATCTACAGCACCCAAGTCAGCGAATGTCAGTCCGCCGAATGTTAGGGGGCGTACAGGCGTTTTGCATAGGGAAGGACCAGATCTCAAGGCCACATGAATCGATTTAAATCGGTTTCCCTTCTTGGCCATATTTTAGTGGGTGGTTCTACTACCTGCATGATAGAAGGGCCCACGAGGACCTCTATGAACGCGGCAGAACCAACGATCAGAGGGTGAAACAGTCGCTGCTCATCTCAGGAAGTGTTTGGCTTGAGACTGCGAAAACCCAGTGGCGTGCTTTTTGCCTTTTGGGTTCCCCACTTCCTCCTGTCCACGAACATGGAACCTGACTGAGGGGTCCTGGAAGACCATTTTCTTTCCAAAAGTGTGGGTTCCATGTTGGTTGGTTGGATGGTTGGTTTTTAGTGGACAGGAGGGCAAAAGAGGAACCCAAGACAACCGATAGCCCTGCTTCCAACACCTGTTTCCAACAAGATTACTGGGCGGGGAGGTCAAAGCGTCTGTATGGCGAGGTGAGGGACGCACCACAGGTCTTGATAGGGTGCAGCTTGAGATGCTGTTCGACAAAAAGTACATGTTTGTGCGGCATTATTGCATTGGACCCATTTTTTTGGTTTGATTCCATGCTTGGTCCCTTGGACCGCGTTCCAGGTTCCCAGCAAAACGTTGTCGAGCGTACAACCTGATCCCAAGCTGCATTGGTCCAGATGGAGGCCTGTCATTGGACAATGACTTCAGGGATGGTTCCCATCGCATGCCACAGGGCAATTCTGTGGCATGCGAAAGGAATCCAGTGCTTGCAACCCATTCAACCACTGGCCCAGCTTCAGATCTTCATTTCCTCCATCGTGGTAAACAAACTGTTCCTTGTTTTTTTTCTTCTTTTTTCGGCCAAGCGATGGACGTGAGACTGAGCTTGCTTCAACTCGGCCAACCGCGATGAGTTTTTTTCTCAAGGCCTCCACTCCTCTCGCCATGTTCTCCGGACGTTTCTTGCAGCGCGCTGCCCGGGCGTCCCCGCGGGCGGGGCGCTGTTTTGCGAGCAAGCCGAAGCTCGGTGATGGAGTTCGGTGACGCCCGGTGAGTCTCTTTTTGCTTGGAAGTTCATGGGTTCTTCCTCAAAATCTGGGGTCTCCCGCAAAACGCTATTTCCTTTGACCAACTTTTTTTGGTTGGGAGGATTCCCCTACTGAAATTAACTGCAGAAAAAAGTTGGTACCCTTATTCTAGACTCTCTACTGGAGGACCTAGGTATGCTAGGTATGCAACGTAGTTTGAAAACATGTTTGTTTGTGTGCCCCAGATGGGGGCGCAGAGAGGGCCAACCCGAGAAGGTTTGGCTTGACTCCAATTGATGGTAGAACATATTCGAATAGGATGGTCCAGGCTAGGTGCAGGTGTTTTTTGTTTTTCCAGGTGGTGTTATGGTTTAGGATGAATGGTTTTGGGTGTTTAACCTATGACAAATCCGTTGATGTTGGTCTAGGGTTGACGCCCTGAAAATGATTGGAGACTCAAAGCCGGAATGCGAAATGGCCTAAAGGTGAACGCAAATAGATTGGTGGTTCAAGTGCCAAGTCCTACGTAGCATATTTTTGCTCACTAATTTCACCCAAACTATGTACTCTATTTACCCACTAGTCTTACCTGATAGGCCCCAAGCTTGCTGATTCTCAATAGAAATCGACAGAGGCTTTGAGAATGCATTTATGGAAATGTTCAACCACAAGTTGGATGCTTCACCTTGAGTAGCACCAGACAATGAGGAAGGCTTTTGGAATGGGGAAGGGGGGCATTCCTTCGTTCCCTATGGAACGTGACACTTCCTTTTTGCCCGAAAATCCGCAAATATTGGTCTTTGCCAAGGTGCAAATGGTTGGTTCTCCTTTGGTTTTCCCTTTAAACCAACCTCAACCTGGGGCCCAAAGTCTCTTGCCCCCGAAATCTCCTAAAGGCGCGTTGTTTTTTGATTTGTTTTCTCCTTTGCTGGAGGAAATGTGTGATGCTGAACGCGGCGCGCTTGGACTTCGATGGGCGCATGGACTGGAGCAAGGTCACCAACGCCACGGAGTTCACCAGCCTTTCGGCGCGCCGAGTGGGACCCATGTGGCCTTTGCCACCCGGGACCCCGCCCCAGGTGACCTGCAAACGGTGTGTCAAAATGGGGTCCCACCCCTCTGCGCTTAGCTTCTCCGTTGGTTCCCCAATCAACCCTGACATGGGGTACCCTCAACTTTCTGTCACAACCAAAATGGAAGGATGCCACAAACGGGTGGAATCCAAAGGGAGGTGCCTCGTGACAATGGGACTTGAGGTTTGTGGATGGAAAGTCACGGCGTTTGTGGTACCTCGCTTTTGTTGGTGAAGGCTTCCCCTGAATATCACAGCAATCCTTGTCTTCTGTGTTGAAGTGGAGTTCCTTTTCCACCGTGGCACCCTGCATCACAGAAGCATCCTAGCGTGTGTTGAAGAAGTGTTTATTAAGTAACACAGTAGCATCCTTGTTGTGTTCAACGTTGAGTTGGATTTCCGGGAAACACCCTCTTAGAGGTTGAAGGATATTCCGCGACATCACAGCAAGGCCCTTGTGTTTTACTTTGTTGATGCGGTTTCCCCTTGAACATCCCCCACCAAGGAGTGCACTTGTGTCCAAGGCTTTGACATCTCCGCCACAGAGGAGATCGTGCCGCGGTCGCAGGGCAACTTGGTTGCTCTAAACCTTTGTGACCTCAGCAAGCTTTCACTGGAGACTCCGACAAAAGCAGATGGAGATTCTTTTTGGGGGGCAATGTCTATTCCAGTAATTTCAGGAAATCAATCTGCTTGCCGGTTTGATTGGAATCCTGGGATCTCTAGAAGATGTGGGATGCAATTTGCCGGTTTCATTAGGCATGGACATTGTGATGAACAAAGAGTTCCCCATCCCGGGCGACATCATCCGCGCCCTGCCGGCCTCGGTGAAGCTCATCGCCGAGGCGCGCTGGGGCGGCGGGGCGCGGTTGTCTGGGGCAGGGGAGGTGCAGCAGCCCTGCTCCATCATTTTGTTCTAGAGGCCGCATTTTTTGGACAACACAACTTCCAGAAATGACTCCAATTCCAGAAATGACTCCAATCCAGTCTTTTTCACCTCAGCTTGTGCATGCACCCACCCTGGGGGTGGAGATCTGGGAAGTCTCACGAGTGGAGTCGTCCAACCGACCTGGGAAATCCATGTTGAGGTATGGAATGAGGACATGCGCCGCCGCCCCAGTTTGGGAGGCCTGTTTGTTTTTTGGGTGAAGGCCTCATGCACAGCCCTTAACGGATCGAACAAGCTTACTTTTTGAGCGGGCTGACACACCATGTTGCTCGCATGGAGATTGCTTTCATGGCAAAACGAGTTCCTTTAGCGGTTGTCTTCATTATGGCTGTTTAAGCCCATCCCCAACATGGGCCATTCCAGCCATGGGCCGTGTTTGTTAAAGAGCATACCGCGAGGCAGGTACCGGATACAACAACATCGACTTGGAGGCGTGCCGCGAGAGGGGCATCGGCATTTGCAACGTGCCGGAGTACACCACCGAGGCCATTCCCTACCAAAAGCTGGGATCTCCCAGACTTCCAGTGATGCCCTTGTTCCCCCTTCTTTGGGCAAGGGTGTTTTTGTAAGATAAGCTCGCTAAAAGAAGAGTGCCAAGTCTTTCCATGGCCGCGGGAGGGGGGGCGGGGACAAGGGAGCAGGTGTTGCCACATGCTGTGTACAGACAGTACCTTTGCGGGCCCAGACAACAGTTGCTTCACCCGAGAAGACCTGGGCACCATGGGAATTCCGTTCTGTTCCCCTTTGAACGAAGCCTGACGATCCTGACGAATTCGGTTCGGAGGCGTTGCATCCAAAAGTGCAGAAACCCGTGGGGCAAGGTCGCCCAACTAACCCAGGACAAGCTAAAGCCAACAAATCTAACCCTCGTAAACAGACATGGTGTTGAAAGTAATTTGTGTGGCTTGAATTCAAAAGACCCTCCGACCGACCGACCGACCGACCAACCAACCAACCAACCAACCACGTTTAAAGCATTGTTTAACGCATCTTTTAAAGCATCCTTTGCCTCAACAAGTCCCACCTCTTCGCCAGGAAACATCGGCATTTCCATTTCACCTGCGAAGCAAGCTGCATTTTCTCTTGGCATCTGCCCGGAGGCCGCAGCCGCACACAAACCGCCCCCAACTCTCAATACCCGCTTTGTTAAGGGTATATTTGGAAGAAGAAAACAAACGGTGTTTTTCCACGGCAAACACCTTGCTGCTTTTTTGGTGAGGTTTCAACATCACCCCCAAATGGGAAACAAGGATTTGGAGACTCGAGTCCAAGCGATAGGCCATGGGGGACTATGCCATCACTCTGGTCATGGCGCTCTCCTGCTCATTGGCCCCCCAGATGAAGGCCAGCCTTGAACCCAGCTCAGTGGAATCCAAGAAACAAATCGGGACAGCCAAGAAGCCATGAAAGCTGCTGTTGATGTTGTTGGGGGGGGGGGGTGCAGATTTTGGAGAGTCAGATTTGTTGGGGCCAGATGTGTGAGTGTCCTATTTCAGGGGTCACATGCTGATTCATCAGTTTGAAGCAAAAACGATCTGAGGTCATTTTCCGGCATGGGTTCTGGAGGTATGGAGCACTTCAAGGGTAGGCGGCGTGGTACCTTATCTTGGTGGTATGAATGAACCTCTCGAATCCATACGTACCTGAACATGTTTGTTAACGGACATGAATCTTTCAAACGCGAAGGATGTTCTTCGTTCCCTTCATGACCAACCGGAGAAAATAACAAGCAAACCGGAAACCTCAAAAAAGGGACCCCCCCCCCAGAATTGTGCCCAAATCTCAGATTGTTCCTTTAATGTTGACCCCGGGTTAATAAACCCCTGATTACCAATATGGGGGTATGCCTGGTTTTAGTGAGGATTCGTCAATTTGCAGAAGAACACCCCCTTATGTATAAACAGGGGTTATGAATCCGGGGTCCAAATTACCCGAAGCTTTTCTTCCCCAAAGCGGGACGGCTACTGTTGAATTGTTCCAGCCCCTATGGCTTTAGCACTGTAATGTGTGTTTCTTTGATTTCCTGACCCCTAGCGGGGCCTGATGATAATTCCTTGCCCTTGTGTCCTTTTTGGAAGGGGTTCCCTTTGATTCCTGTTGTCGTTTTTGGGGGCGGAGGGGGAGTCAACGACCAAGAAAAACCATGCCCCATGTTCTATGGCCGCAGTGTCTGCCCTTGACAGGCCTTGGCCAGGGGCGACAGGACCTATATGCGCCCTGGGCTTTCAGCTTGCACGTGAAATCGCCCCAGGACCTGCTGGAACAAATTGTTTTTCCCGATACAAAAGGCGATCCACCTTTTAAGGTGCTTGGAGCGGCTAGCCCACAGTTATTGACTTACCCAAAGGGAAACCAACACGAGATGTGTGTTTTTGGTGATTTGTCCAGACATCTTTGTTTTGGTGGCCCAAGGGGCGTCACTCAACAAACCATTTGATTGGCATTGTCTGATTGCTTGATTGGTTGTTCATCACTGTGGCCAAATGGCTGTTGGATTGCCAGTTTATGTGACTCACCAAGGGAAATAGCTTGATAAGACGCATGGGAATCAAACGCTTTGGTAGTATCACAGAATGTGTGTTTTTGTTGTTTTACCACGCCTTTCTTGTTAGCTTTTCTTGGGTATCCTTTCAAGACTCCACAACAAACAAGGGCGCAAGTCATTTTTTCCTCTGCCCCCCCCCTCCCGAATTGTTGACTAGTTCAGGGTGCTTTCCCACAAAATCCTCAACGAAAAGGGACAGACCCGGTTTTCTTCTCATGTCCATGAAAAGGTGCCCCTTTGTTTCCTGGACAGCCACTGTGCCCTTTACAATAGCCTGCAGACACTTCAGCAAAAAGGAGAGTCCTATTTTTCCCAGCAAACACCCATAACTTTTCACCCAACCTCACCCAAGAAAAGGGCGAGTCTGACTGCTTCCACCTCCTTGAGGTGGCAACTCGTCTTTTTTTTGCTTCGGTTTCCCATGGGTTTCCTTCGATCCCACCTGGCGGCGGTTTTTTTGCTTTTGAGGCACCAATGCCACCTGGGGCACTTGGACCATTTCGAGATCCGCGGCAAGACCTATGGCATCATCGGGGGCTTGGGCTACATCGCCTCCAATATCTCCAAGAAGGCGCAAGGGAGCCGCATGAGGCAATTGCGCAAAGCGAAACGACCTGAAATGACCTTTTGGTTCCGCTGATTTGGCAACAGTACTGTGGATGGACGAAATCTATTTCGCACCACCTAAGAAACCCTAGAATGATACGATCCCCTGTGAATACCAACAAACAACGGTTTCAACCATGGTGTATTGGGTGGTGCGAATTGGATTTCGCAACCATCCACAGTATGTGGTCAAGGTTCCACAAGGTGATCACCTTTTATTTCCGCGCTCTCTGGGCAGGTGTTGTACATTTGGGCCAGTCAAAGCATCCCCTTTACCATTTGATTCAGGGGAGTTCTTTGTACAGCAGGTGCTTTTGCACGTCTCCTTTTTCGACACCTGCGCAACCCCACTCTTCGCGAGACGTTCGCAAGTTTCCGTGTAAATCGGCTCGAGCCGTGGTTCTCTTTTCCGATCGGGTCCATTGGAACGACCCCAAACGTGTAACAGTTTGTCTCAAAATAGGGATCCCCCCCCGCCCAAAAAAACAAGAGGTCATTTTCCTTTGTCGATCCCTTTCAACTAAGGGGATGATCCCAAGCCAACTCAACGGGGGCACCGATTAAACCAGGGGCCTCTCCATTTGTTTCCTCTTGGCTTCCCATTTTGAAGAAAGGAGGTAAGGAGAGGTCACCCTGTTTTGTGTTGAGTCCTTTTGGTTTTCCTTTTAAAGACAATCAGCCGACATGGGAGTCTTTGCTTGCTCTAAGATTCGCATGAAGCATAAAATTTATAGGTTGCACTTTGCGAGACCCCACATTCACCCTGAATTGCTTTACAGGGTTCCCTATAGTCCCGTCAAAAGTTGGTTAACAACATCTTGTTGGCCAGTGTAAGAATATGTATGTTCCTTTAGTTAGCATGATGCTTGAGGTTGAGCATGTAGGCAACCATGTTTTCATGGAGCAACTGAGCAGGGCACCTGCCAGCGTAGGGCAAGCCCCAAGGTACACACATCAACATGGGGTGGTTTATTGTTCCATTAAAAGAGGTGTGCAACTTAGCAAAACAATACGAGGAGTGTCCCCCGTTTTGTGTATCTTTGAGACAAACCCTGCGGCGGTGTTTCAACACCTTTGGGGCCAGGATGGGCTTGGCTTGGTTTAGTCAATTTCTCGTTGGTTTCCTGGGGTTAAACTACTACCCCAGCTTAACCCGTCCAAATGCGAGGTAGACTCAAAGCCGATTGATTCCCCCAACGGAAAACTGGTCGAAAGGCCCAAGCCATTCCCGAAAAGCCCCCCAAACGCCCACACACAGAGAACCTGCCCCAGAGGGTCCAAGTACCTTCTGACGAGGTACTTAGACCCCTTTTTCCTCCCAAAAGCCATCCTCATGAGGTATTTGGACCCTCTGGGTGCACAGAAAGTCCCGGTTTGGATCGTGTTCCTTCAAAGGGGCACCGGTGCCTGCGCTGGTTCCTTCTGCTTTTTGGTGCGGTACCCTGACGATACGACCCGAGTCGCTCGCGAGTCGGGAGCGCAGTGAGGCGCTCCAGCTGGGCATGCGTGTCATCGTCTCGGACATGCCTTCCACACCCTTGGGCATGCGGGACTCTGGTGTGGAGGCGGTGGATTTTGTTTTGCGTGTGTGGTTCATTTTTGAGGGCCGCCACTTGTTTGGTAGAGGGAAACAAAAAGCGAAGCCGAAGCCATGTTGGGAGGTCCCACCGGAAAAAATTGGGGGTCCCACCTTAAAAACCATTTGTTTGTTTGCTTGCTTGGCTTTTGCCCTTCGCGGAAGCTGCTGCGAAAATGTGGTTTGCTTCCATTCCCCCTAATTGTAAACGGTGAAAATACGTGGCGGAAACAAAGCCCAACCGCCCTCCCCGAAAGGGTTTGGGGTTCCTTGGGCAATGGTTCAAAGCCAACCCGGGCCGCATTTTGATCCTGCTTGTGTTGTTTGTTGGTATCTTCCCGTGGTACGGAATCTCCATTGGTTTCAATCCATCCGAAGAACCCCGGCCAATCTTTAAACTGCTTGATTCCTGCCAAACACTGGTTGAAGAGTTGGACCGACAAATGTACGATGTGCAGTTGTCCATGCTTCTAACGTGTAAGGTGCCATTGAGTGTTCCCTCTTGGCGGATTAAGGGGGTACGCAGGAAGTGTCCACCCCCCCCCCCGGCCCAATAGGAATCCCGGGACACTTTTGTTTCCACAAATGAGGCGCACGCAGGTTTGGCTTTCAATCGGATATACCCTCAGATGAGTGGATAGGATCCTCGCCTTTTCTGGTTGCTTGGGAACCTGCTTGGGTTTTTCCTCTAGATGAGTCACCCCCAACCAGGACAAAATAGCCATGGATGGCGTTGCCGGAAATGGGTGTGTCTCCGAATGGGATTTGGAGCCCGCAAACCGAGTGGGCTTCTTTGGATTTGCGTTTAAAACTCAAACGTTTATGACTGAAGCATGACCCTATCAAGCACTCCCGCAGACCAGAAGCGCAGATGGTTGATTTTGGGCTGCCATCAGCGAGGAATGAGAATCCCACTTTGGCACTACTGGCCCATTTTCCACTTGAGGGAGCCTCATCTTTGGCCGAGTTTCGATGGGAATCAAGTTATTTTTGATGTCAGTTGGACTGGTCGATGGAATTCAGTGGCTTCAGTTTGTTTCTTTTCATCCAGACTGACCCCGCCTTTTTTCCATTTGTCTGGTTGGCCCATGTCCGTTTTCGCCGCTTTCCCCTTTTGGGCTTACTTGTTTCATCTCTCACCGAAAGCGTCAAATGAATCCCTCTTGTTTGGCCCATGAGTTCACCAAAGCGTCAGAGCCTCTCCTTCGAATCTCGATCCGTCTTGGAGGTCACCAATGACCTTGAACCACCCGTTTAACCAAGAGGAACATGTTTTGCTGAATCCCTACGTACAAAAGTGGCTTGCCTATCCCACTGGGTCTGCTTTTGGAGGTGGTACCCTTAAGAGGAACAAATGGCTTGTTCCCTACGATAGCGGCTTGCCTATTCCACTGGTGTAGGTGGTGACCATCGATGACCTCCTGAAGAACTCTGACTTCATCAGCCCCATGGTTCCGCTGAACAAGCACACGACGGGGCTCTTGAACAAGGAAGCCTTCGACAAGATGAAGCCGTCGGCCTACGTCATCAACACCGCGCGGGGGCCTATCGTCCCTTGGCCTAAACGTTCGTTGAACGCCCAAGAATGAGTCAAAATGGGCTGTGTTAGTAGGTGGCTCCGTTCCTACCCGGTTTCATAGCTCAGATAAAGTTTAGAGGATGAAGGAAAGACTGTTTCTCGAAATGGCGGGAAACCAAAGGCAAACAACCATTGTAGAGACCCCTATTTTGAGAAGCGCTCAAGAAGCAAACAGGGCAGGGCCAAAAGTATGTGTTATTCCTGTTTGGGGTGGCTCAAACATCACCCTTTCGGGCCAGCTGCAAATGAGTTTCCTTTGAGCTTTTTGTGTCGTGTTTGAACGGGAGATATACCCCTTACACCCAATACCCTCTTGTTTGAGGGTATCCTGTCGACCCTCTACTAAAAAAGGAGGTAGTTTCCACGGAAACCCAGGCTTTTCAAAGTACCCTAAACACAGTGGGTATTTGGAGTGGGGGGTATGAGAAATTCTGTGAACTTCTTCGCGCCAGAAGCCATCAACCACTAAAACGGTATTGCACTCAGTGAGTCCATTTCCCTGGTAGCCAATGGAACCCGACCAAGAGGACAATGGCGAAGGGTATGGCGAAGGGTTAGCTACTATACTGGCTCGACTGGGATGAACTGGTCTTGGGGTTCGAGCGACGTCCCGGACCCGAGAACTTGAGGCTTAGGGAGACCAAAAGACCACCCCACCAGAACCTTGGAACCCAACCAGGGATTCCATAAGATCATACCTGCAGCATCTTGCCTAACCTCTAACTTCCCATCCCTGCCAAAAGTCTCCTTTCGGTTGTTTGACCCTCACGCTTTGTTTCTCCTTCGAAACCAAGCGCAAAACACGGTTTTGCTGCTCACCACTCGGATCGATTGGGCGTGGCTCAAAATTAAAGAACCGGTCACGCAGGTTTTAGTCTTTGCTTCCATTGACAAGGGTGCCATGTTGGTACCAGTTTTTGAGCCACAGACGATTCTCGCAGGTGGACCAGGCAGCGCTCATCGACGCCCTGCGCAGCAAGAAGATCGCGGGGGCCGCGTTGGACGTCTTCGGCGCCGGCTCCGCGCCCCCGCCGCCGCTGCCGGACGACTCCCCACTCTACGACGCTAGGAAGTCGAAGTGGGTGGAATCCGTGGCCTTTTTTGGAATCGGACACTTAAATGAGTGGGCTTTAGTTTGGGTGTTCCTTTCAATCCCACAAAATGGGGATGTCGGGTTGTTGATTTTAGCAATCCGCAAGATCCTTACTTTGGGCTGCGCAAGGGTTCGGTTTGTAGTGGTAATCCAATAGTTCTGGATTGGGATTGGCCAACAAGAAACATTTTGATCAGAGACGGTTCCTTCTAATCCACAAAAAGAAGGTGCAGCAACTCAAAAAAGGCACACCCCATATGTGCAGTCAAAACCCCCTACTTGGAGGAAGGGATGGTCATAGACCCCGCAGAGGTGTTAAAGAACCAATGCAAGGGCTGGGATGCAGCCGTGACCATGACATCCAAAGTGAAGGTTACTTTCCCTCAAACTGAATCAGAGGGGAATTTCACAGAAACATGTGTAATGATTCATGGTTGTTTGTGTCTTTCCCTCATTTGACTCATTCTCTGTCTCTGTGTCCTTCTGGTTGTTGAATCATTATCATTGCCCCTAAAAGACAAAGACCTGTCCCAGCAGGTCCAAGTATCTCATGAGGATGGCTTTTGGGGGGGTAAAAAGGGGTCTAAGCACCTCGTTAGAAGGTACTTGGACCCTTGGGGTGTGCCCAGATCTGTCTCAGGATGTCTTCAACGAGTTCGAGAACGTGATCCTCACGCCGCACATCGGCTGGCAGCGAGTGGAGGCCCGCCAGAGGGTGGTGGATGGCTGCGGCGACAACATCGCCAAGTTCACACGAGGAGACAGCGAGGGGCCGGGCCCGGACCTCTGGGGGGGGTGGGGCGAGCGTAGGTGTTCTTTTGCTCGGTTCCTTTGAGGACAGAGCAATAGATGGGTCGTCCTTTTGATCGGGTCCTTTGGGAGAGAATTTTTTTATGGGGTCCACTGGCTTCGATGTGCTTTGGAAACCCATTGACCAGAGAAACCCGCCTTGCGTTTTCCAAAAGGCACCTATGGGTTGCGAGCCTTTTTTCTCAACTTGTTTGGAGGGGGGGGTCCTCCAAAATCCACCAAATGGCCACCAAATGGCCTGATGTCATGGTTGATCTCGGTGTGGCCGAATCGCCAGAAACAAATACGGCTTTCCATTCTGCAGAAGGTGATCGACCTTTTGCTCAGGGGGCTTCGCGCGACCCAGATAATATGCCTTTGTCCATGTTTCGGATACGCCTAAACTCGGGGAAGTATCCTCATTTTGAGATGCACTCATATCATATGGTGAAAGTAGTTTTGATACAGGTCTATTTTGAATATAGTCTATTGATGCTTGGGGCAAACTATAGATGTTAAGCAGAATCTACGCATATGACTGATGTTTGTGTTTTTGGGCGTATCCCTGACTTGTATCCCAGAGTTTGAGTTGTTTGTTGTTTCGCTTGCTTTGCACAGATATTGTTTGGAGACATCGTCAGGGAAGAGATTCATGTTTGGCGAGCCCCCTGATTTCCAAGCGGAAAGTCCGCTTCAGCTGAACGCATCCAGAGCTCAACGGTTCGGAAGTTCGGAGGTGGAGAGCGAAGTTTGGGTCCCAGATTGAGGATAAAGTTCATTCAAGTGAAATCGGAGCGAAAACCCGGCACCAGCCAAAAGGCCACCGGCAAAACTGAGGTTGGGGAGAATCTTTGTGGGGATTCAGACCACTTTTGGAGTCGACATTGGGCGTTTGGGACCAAACGTCCAGCCTCAGTTGCTGCAAAGGGACCTGAAGTGATGGGCGACTTTCCGTGACTTGTCAGCCACTGTGTGTGGGAAGGAGCCCATGGGCGCCACACAAAGAGATGATGCGAAAGTTGTTCCAGGGATCGCAATCCAGCACCCGGGTCCCTTTTTAGGTTACCTCACTTGTGATTGTAGGCATGAATAGAAGCAGTTGTTGAGGGAGTGCTGGATATGTCCCCTTTGAACATCAAAAGGAATCTTTGAATTGGCCCGCAAGATCTTCACAGCCACCAAGAAGGGAGCACATATGGGAGTTTCTCAGAAACACCCGAGGTTGTGATTCCACGTGAATCTGCAGAACAGTCGATGATCAGGTTGGGGTGGACAGATGTAGGAACTCACTCATTTCCTTCGAACATGTTGCCACCTCGGAACAGTTTGAGTGTTTTTATATATATATTATTATTATTATTATTATTATTATTATTATTATTATTATTATTATTATTATTATTATTATTATTATTATTATTATTATTATTTGCTCAGAATCGTTTGGGCGGCCTCCGTTGCCAGCTTTCAGGAGAAGCCATGAACATCGACATGGCGACAGGCCTACCCATCCGCTAAATTTGGAAATTTGGAGACTCACAGCCTTGGGTTCTGACATATGGATTCCGTGCACTTCAATCCCATCACGAACTTAGATGGCAAACAAAGCAACCCATTTGTCAGAACCCATGTGATGGGTCACCCAATTAGAGGCTATAAGCTCCGTTTCAAGAGTTTTCCCCACAGCAGGGCGCACAAGTCACTCCAACGCAAGAGTGCTTCGAACGCGCATCGTGGCATTCCAGCCTGAAAGAGGCGTTTGGCGGCTGGGTGGCTGGGCGGGGACTTTGATTCAATGTACTTTGATGTGTGAGATTGATAGACCCTATGACATCCTATCACAAACTGAAAATCAGGGGTCCGTCAGTAAAATATAGTAACTACTCCCGCGTTTGAATGCTTTTGAGGGTCTGCGACAGATGAATTCCTGGTTGTTTTTCTATGGCGGGAGGCTTTCCTTTGGGCAAGCGCTGAGTTGCGGTCTTGAAGCTTCATGGTTGCCATCTGGTCGCGCTGTAGCCTGTGCCCTTGGACTTCATGTCCGGAAGTTTCCAAACCGCTGCAGTCGCCTCTTCGATGGTTGAAGCTTCGCCTTTTTGCAAAGGCCGATTTGTACAGAAGCCTGCGGCGAGCGGCTTCCCTTCGAAGTCAAGCGATGTTTTTCAGCCAAGAGGCAAAGAGCATTTGAAAGGTGCTTGAGAAGGGAGTTGCGGATGTATGCTATAGAATATCGAAGCCGCAACCCAGCGCATAGTTTAAGGTTTTTCTATGGCCCCAGAGGATCTCCATATAGGGCAAAAAGGCACCTCAGGTTTCTTCGTTGTGCTTAACCCGCTTCACAAAAAAAAGCACAGGTTTGGGTGGATGCCCTCAATTAAGCACAATGGCATGTATGCCCTTTGAGTTGGATGGCCACCCAAAAAGGCACACAGCCAAAGCTCTGATTGATTCTCGGCGCGGCGCTCGCAACTTCTCCCAAATTGGGTTTTCAATATCTGCCAGCGCTTCCAGTTTTCGCCGTTTGGGTCACCAGGCAGTCTTCGTCAGGTTTTACCCTGGATGGTTGAATGGCAACCCTGGTTACCAGTGGCTTGCCTGGAAGCACTGAGTCTCCTTCTTGGGCCCTATGAACAACCCCCGTTTTCGACGCCCGAGCCGCAAGGAAGCTCGGCGCACGACGAAACTCCGGAGCCGAGCACGAGACGTATCGGTGAGTCACCCAGGCGCGGATGGCGCCGGACCGATAGGAAAATGGGACCCGCTTTCTCTTTCTGGACCAAATGGGACGCGCCCCCAAAATGTTTAGTCGTAACTTCCAAATGCATTGTGTTTGAACCATAAGTGGTATCATTGGTGGAAGAAAGCCAGCTATTTGGTGGCCTTGTTAACCAGGATTGCTTTGGGAAGGAAACTGACAGGCACGCAAACGAGCCTCAGGTTTTGAGTTCAGAGATGGGATGGTTCAATTGTATTGGTGTGGGTATTTCCCAAGATGGGGGACTCCAACAAAGAAAATGGCTGGTTCCTTTTTTCCCCAGGTACTTTTGTTTGTAGTATGAAAGGGCAAACGAAAGGAAAACCAGCATTTTGGCAGGTACTCTAAACAAGACACACCCATATCCATGTAGCTTTTCTTTGGGCCACAAGAAAAAGGGGTCCTTTTCCATCGGCGAGCCTGCGTTCTCCTTCCTGGAGCCCTTTTAGTTTCCTGGTAGTTTTGGGCGTGTTGGGCGTTCTAAGTGGTTTCTAGGAATTTTGCGCGACCCCCGAGCCCAAAAAACGTATTTTTCTGATTTGCGGGCGTTTGCGGAGTTTTGCGGGCGTTTGCGGGCTTTTTGCGGGCGTTTTGCGGGTAATTCTGGGCGGGGAAAACGTGAAACCGTACCAATTCTGAAATCTCATAAACATATAGGAGCTTTGGTAGTGTTAGGCGACTTCACGAAAAAAGCATCGAGATTTACGAAAAGCAAGTCAAAGCCGAGAACTACCAGGAAATTCATGGAGAATGAATCTCCAGGTGTGTCCAGACTTGAGATTGCGAACTCAGGGTGTCCGCTTTATTTGAAATTTGGGTGTGGCTCCAAATTAAACAGCGGGGGCAAACCGCAGGATTTGGTCCATGTTTCCGCTTACCAGGGTTCCATGTTGGTACCGGTTTTTTGAGCAATTTGAGCCATTTGGGTGTGTCTAGTTAAGGTTGGATCCCCCCAAATGGCGGGTTTCCTTGTGGTGTCCCTTCCAAGCCACCCAAAAAAGGTGGTACCAACTCAAAAAACAAGACACCCATTTGGCAACTATACGTTTTGGGATGGGTTTTGAGGGAGACCAGTGGAAAGCCACTGATGCTGGGCTTCCAATAATTTGGATACGCCTTCTGGCAATGGGGCATGTTCCAAGTCTAGAAGCAATCCGTAATCAAAACCTGGGCAAGTGAAGGTTGGTAAGGGAAAGTCCCAAGCATTCAAGACCTGCAGCGCAGGCCACTTTACTAGTGACCGTGGCTCATGTGGGGTGTCAAATGGGTTAACCCGCCGTGGGTGGTTGATAGATTTTGAGTCCATACCAGGTCTTTACTTGGTTTTGGGTGGCCCACCACTGTGGGCCAGATTTTGATTGTGACAAGTAAACTCATTAGGGGTGTCCACTATTTTTGAGCTTATGGCAGGCCAAAAAGAAACCGGACGCAATTCTGCGGGGCCTTCTGTTTTTTTGATACAAGTCCAAAAACGCATCCAGCAAATGGAATATGCTTTTCTTGGGGTTCCAACTAGTCGTCCATACTGTTTCGGTTGCTCGCACATCTCATAATATTGGCGTGCCGTTCTTAACGGTGCCCCTTTTTGGATGGCTTTAAAGGGAAACCAAAAGGACAATCACCCCTTGTGGCGGTTCCCCCCAAAAGAAAAACCAACACTCCCGTTTCTACCGAATCCAGAGGCGGCCGTCCGACCGTGGCTCGCGCGCTGCGAGGCGAAGGAAGCTGCGCCGGAAGGCCCCGAGCCGGGTCCATGAATAAAAAAGTCACGGGAGAGGACTGGGTCTCCTAGAGTGATCTTTTTGAGGGCTCTCAGAAATCTGTTTTATTCCCCAGATAGCTGAAAGCTATAGGGGTTCTAACTTCTAATAAAGAGGGGAAAGTGATTTGCGAGATTGAGGGCCGGGTGCTAGGGGGCATGCAGTTTGAGGTGCTGGTGGATGCTGCTTTGCGAGCTTGACGGCCGGGTGCTAGGGGGCATGCAGTTTAAGGTGCTGGTGGATGCTGCTTTGCGAGATTGAGGGCCGGGTGCTAGGGGGCATGCAGTTTGAGGTGCTGGTGGATGCTGCTTTGCGAGCTTGACGGCCGGGTGCTGGGGGGCATGCAGTTTGAGGTGCTGGTGGATGCTGCTTTGCGAGATTGAGGGCCGGGTGCTCGGGGGCATGCAGTTTGAGGTGCTGGTGGATGCTGCTTTGCGAGCTTGACGGCCGGGTGGGGGGCTGCTGGTTTGCGAGCTGGCCGGCGAGCTTGACGGCCGGGTGCTCGGGTGCTGGTGGATGCTGTTTTGCGAGCTTGACGGCTGGGTGCTGGGGGCATGCAGTTTGGGGTGCTGGTGGATGCTGTTTTGTTTTTCGAGCTGGCCGGGTGCTAGGGGCATGCAGTTTGGGGTGCTGGTGGATGCTGTTTTGCGAGCTTGACGGCCGGGTGCTGGGGGGCATGCAGTTTGGGCTGCTGGTGGATGCTGTTTTGCGAGCTGGCCGGGTGCTAGGGGGCATGCAGTTTGGGGTGCTGGTGGATGCTGTTTTGCGAGCTTGACGGCCGGTTCTAGGGGGCATGCAGTTTGGGGTGCTGGTGGATGCTGCTTTGCGAGCTTGACGGCCGGGTGCTAAGGGGCATGCAGTTTGAGGCGCGGGTGGATGCTGCTTTGGTTGTACCGGGTGCTAGGGGGCATGTTTGGGGTGCTGGTGGATGCTGTTCGCGTGTAACGGTTCGTGGCTGGTGTATCGTCATGATGTTCCCACGTTATGGTGTGTGGGTGTAGTGGCGCCGTGATGCTGTCAACATCAGGATGATGCAGAATTTCATTAAGCTGTCGCAAGATGGTTCGTGGCTGTGGTATCATCATGATGCTGCCTTTACCATCAGCATGATGCTGTTCGCATCACCATGATGCTGTCCGCATCATCATGATGCTGTCATCATGATGCTGTCCGCATCATCATGATGCTGTCGAACTCATCAGGACCTCGTTTTTGCTTTTTCCTGCCGGATTGCTCTCAAAATCATCATTATGCTGCTGATCTCATTAGGACGTTGTCTGCGCGTTTGTTTCGTGGCTGTGTCATCATGGTCTACATCATCATGATAATGCTGCGTCATGGTTCGTATCCGTGGTCTGCTAGCTGGGGTCTATGCTGGTGTAATTTATTTTTTGGGGGGCTCCCTTTATACTGTTAGAAGGCGATTTCGAGGACAGCCCTGTGGGAGATGTCAAGGCAACTGAGCCAACCATGGGAACCTGATTGAGGACACGCAACTGTGGTCAGTGGATTGCTTCACAACCACCAAATGTCTACCTCTGATTAATAAACAACCCCCCCCGCTCCCAACAACTTCCCTCTCCAAATAGTGTTCCCAACCTGCCAGCCCACAACGTAACGGGGAGGTCGGCATTCCGAAGAAAATCCATTCAGCCTAGGTTCCTTCCTGAAGGCTTTTCCTCGGGATGGGGTGGTTGAGACCCCTGACTTGCTCAGGATACTCCTGTCCCCCGGTGCTTAACAAATATCGGGGACTCCTGTTCGAGGAAGGCAAGTTCCCCACCCGGAGGTGGAGAATGGGAATGTGCAACTGGGAACCGGCAGGTAGGCGTGTCGCAACCCATGCTCCGTGGCCTCTTTTGCACGTTCGGGTGGCAATGTCGTCATTGGTGTTGCGGGTTTCCTAAATTTCGGGAAGCCCCTTCTGTGTAAAGAAGCCAAGGTAAGCCGGCATAAGGGAATTCAAGACGAAGCTCGGGTTCTTGAATGTCTGACTGTTTCAATGCCACCGAAGTTTTGGGTCCGTCCTGCTGACACGTTTGCGTGTTTTAGCTTATCCACTTCACAATCAACTTTTTCCATGGGTGCGACGGTCTTTTTCAACGATGACCAGACACCCGAAATAGTTAGAGAAAAGGGCCCGTCGGATTTTTGGCAGGTTGCAATCGAAAATGCATTCCCAGAGAAATCCGGGTACAAACCGACAGGACTCGCACAGACCCGCAATCTCCCAAACGTTTTACGGCCTTAGTTGGCCTTCATGCTTGCTACCGCCTTACATCTTATCCTAGGTGGAGGGTGGATCAATGTTCAAGTTATCTTCTACGCCCTTCGGCGTGCATGGGGACCCATGCTTTGTAGGTTCCCTGCTGGTGCCATCAAACCGGTGACCTTTTTTTGTGCAAGTGGACCCGGCTTGAAGGCCTTGCAGATTACTCCCGGGCATTCCCCGATGTGAAAGATTCCACCTTTATTGATCAACCAGGGCACAGCGCCCTCCCAAAATCCGTCAGTTGGTCCGCTGCGGGATTTGACAAAGTTCGGGCCCCGTGATGGACCCTTGCAAAGGCGGCACGTACCAAAGCGCACGTACCAAAGGGCACGTACCAAAGGGCCCAGAAAGGAACCCGAGATACTTGGGACAAACCCCCCCACTGAGCAGAGAGGGGCCTTGCAGGCGAGAAAGGAAGCTCAGAGAAACCAGTGAGGGTGCACTTTTCGCGAAGCGTGATGTCTCACCGCCAGTCCTCTCGGATGCATGTTGCAACAGGGGTCCCTCTATGTCCCTTGGTGGGTGTAAACATCACCTCTTTGGGAGGGATGTTGTACTTCGTTGGCAGAAACGGGTATGGAACATCATGGAACAGCTCCTAAAGCTTCTTTTGACTCCTCGAGCTTGGAACCATAGCTCAAGCCTGTCACCACCAAGTTGCGATGCAAAAGGCCAAGCATCTTGTTTTGGATGTCTCATTGCATAGCGACCCCACGTACTCTCACACGGGAACATGGCGCATGCCCTCGCATGCGTTTACATGTGTTTACGTAGCGGTTGTATTCAGCAATGTTGAAGAGTGATGCGTGCAATGGTCAAGGCATTCTAGGTGGGGCTACTAGGGGATGGTCCTGACAACCGTTTTTTCAAGGTTCCCGCTGATTGGACCATGCCCGCGAGAGTGAAAGTTGGCACTTGCTTGTCTATCTCGGAAGAAGAGGCGTCTCTCAAGATGTTTCCCTTCCGAAAGCCTCTGGTCAACTTTCATGATGGGAGAATGACAATGGGTAAAGCTACCATTATACCGTTATACCAACTGCGGCTTTCTCAACCATGTGAAAGTCGGTCAATATTCCATTTAGGCCCCCCTGGTCATGCTTAGGCCTAGGAAGGAGAAAACTATGCCGTGCTTTGTCAAATGGTCACCCCATGTAAGAGGATGGGCATAAAAGGGGTCTAAGTACTTGGACCCTCTAAGAAAGGACTTTTGATCGGCTCCCGTCTTTCAAAATTCCCCAAGTCGGACAGCAAAACGCCGGTGCTGTCCAGGGTTTCGGAGATCCGCGTAGAGGCGCCAGTGCAACACTTTTGTGCGGGGGCAAGTGCTGACTTGGGGTACCCAGTGATTCCATTTACATGGTTTTGTAGGTAACCAAGGGAGCCACCCATTAATACCCAAAAGGGACATGGCTGGTTACCTATTATAGTAGTAACTGGGATCCACTTTTTAGGAGCTAGGATACATTGATATCTCGATTGATTCCTGTTCCAGTCGTTTCAAAAATCGTCCTCCTGAAAACCCAAGTGATCCTTAGACTGTAAACTTATGTTGACAAGCGAAGCCAGCGGTGGAAATCAAGTTTAGTGAGATGGCAGTGTGAACCAACGGGCGATGCTGCTTTCGTTTTGTTCCTCACAAAAACAACCATGGACCCGGAAAGAGGTTCTGATGGAGGAAAATGGTCTTCAAGGGGGGTCCTGTTCCATGCGCATACTGCTTCTGTGTTTCGGAGTGGTATTCCTTAATCTTCCTTTCAGCCAATCCAAAATGCGGAGACGGCCAGCTGCAATCATGGGGACGTACGTCGCCGTTTTGGGATCCAGCATGCTTCCCGAACTATGCGTGACAGTGAGGACTTGGGGTTGGGAAAGGGAAAGGGAGGGACCAGTACTGATCAACATGTAGGTACGCGTCAAACCAGGGGGAGCCCCAGCAATGACGGTTTCACCGTCGTAACATATCCAAACAGGGTACCTCCAACAAACACGCACGCACACACAGATGTCACTTGACTTGTTATTCCGTGATGCCACTTAAGGCTGGACTTTAGACCTAGCGTGTGGAGCGTGGCGGGTTTCCCGTGCAAGTCCTTGACGAGTAAAGTTGGCGGACAAAGCCAAAGAGAATGGTTCTTGCTGTTTGGATGGGGCCCTAAGTCAAACCTCGCCGTCGAACAATTCAACAGAACAAGAAAAGGAAGTTCGGCACGGCTCACTCGAGTCAAGCATCCTCATCAGGAACGCCCTTGTTCGACCACGGCTACTGTATGCTCTCGTTCACCGTGGGGGCGTCCGACTCCAATCAAAAACAATTGCGACACTGAAAGTCCGTGAAGAGGTGCAAAACCCTCCAAGTGCAAAGTCAGCCAAGTGCTAAACAGCTATGCTGCCCCTTTCCGATCTTCAGGGGTTTCACACACACACACACACTTAAACTCCCGAAGGAGGAATCTCATCTTTCGACTGGTTTTTTTTTCGAGTAGCGGTTTCCGCGGGCAAAGAGGGGTCCGTTTAGTTGGGGTAGCCCACCAGCTGTCATCATAGACCCAGGTGCGGCTTGCAGGTACGTTTCACGAGAAGCATGTGGGGTCTTCGTTGGCAGCCGCCCACATGCCTCTCCGGCTGCCCCCTGCTTTAACCCAAAAGACGGTGACAGGGCATTCTGTCACTCCGCACACACACGCCCCTCAATGAGGGGCGAAAGCCGCTGTTTCTCTGTCAGGAAGATGCAGCTGCGCTCACCACGAGGTCGAAAGAATAGTCCACGCATCATATATTCCGCTGCGTAGCAAGTTACATGACCATGTAAGTCAAACCAAGCAAAGATTTCAACTAATATGCGCAACAATCGAAGAGCCGCAGCCTGGAAGCAGCAGGTGTAGCAAGTTACATGACCATGCAAGACAAACCAAGCAAAGATTTCAACACATATGCGCAACACTCGTGGAAGCAGCAGGTGCAATGCCAGTGGTGAGACGTAACTATGAAGTGGTGGCTGTCTTCCCTTTAGTGAAACCTCGTTCCTGCTTAAACGTGAAATTCCGCTGGTCTATGATCGGTCGTGAGGTCAAAATTTCCGGCGAACCGGCCCGGGGTCACACAATGGGTACACCCGAGGTTCCCCCAAGATGGGGTGATCACACTTAAACTCCCGAAGGAGGAATCTCATTTTTCGATTGGGTGGGTTTTCGAGTGGCGGTTTCCGCGGGCAAAGAGGGGTCCGTTTAGTTGGGGTAGCCCACCAGCTGTCATCATAGACCCAGGTGCGGCTTGCAGGTACGTTTCACGAGAAGCATGTGGGGTCTTCGTTGGCAGCCGCCCACATGCCTCTCCGGCTGCCCCCTGCTTTAACCCAAAAGACGGTGACAGGGCATTCTGTCACTCCGCACACACACACGCAAGGGAGAATCAACCCGAGTGGTTGATTTGCCAAGAGAACCCCCTTGGTTTGTGTCTACAACAAACGTCAGCCTGCGACGTTTGCCAGACATCTAACTTGATCGCCCAAGGTGAGACTGAGGGTTTGCTTCCATACCACCTCCCCATCAAATAGAGAATTTGCCCATTGGAAAGGTGCGAAAAACGCAACCCTAGTTTTGCCTTCGCGTGCTTTGTGTTTGTTTTTTTTGTTGTATCTTTTTTTCTGGAGGTTGTGAATGCACCTGAAGGGCTTACATGTTTGCGCTTGAAGGTCCTTTTGTCGTTTGTCCCTTTTCCCTTCGCAAAAAGTGATATATCTATCACCTATTTCAGGGTCAGCGGATCCCAAATGGGCTTTTGTGGATTTCGCACATCGCTTTGGGATGGGTTCAAAGGCGTTGCCTCAAAGGAACGACCCAAGAAGTCGCAGCGGAAGTTGGATCCATCACTCACCACATGCCCATGCCCTGGGGGTCCGTGCTGGCATCGACTGCTGCGACGTGTTTCAGTTAGTTTGGCACCTGTTTTGGCGTGCGAGCATTGACTTGCGGAGTGTTTCAGTGTGTCTTCAAATAGAGGATGCTGCTTTGTCCTTTGGGTTCCCGTTTGCAGCCTCAAAATAAAACACCCCACGGGCCATGCATTTGAAGGGCACACATGGGCCCTTGACTGGTCACTTTGGCGGTTGGACGGTTGAAGGGTTCGAACTCTTGTCATCTGTTGAACGGGAAGATAGCCCAGCTGTTTCGTTTTTCGGTGCTGGAATTTTGGGCGTTTATCCCTCATGGCGACCGCACAAGCTGTTTCTTGTTCCTCCTTCGGTGGAGAGGGGGCAAAATCGGCTGTGGCGAGAAAAGCCAAAGGAAAACAACAAAACAACCCGTGTTTTCCTTGTTATTTTTCTTTTTTTTTGGGGGTGTATATTTCCCCTCGAAGAGTGGTATTTAAACAGCACTTTGTTGTCCTATTTACGGCGTGTTTCTGGACTTGTTTGTTGGCTCCTTTTGGGACACTCGCAAGAAGATGGAATCAGGCAAATGGGAAGCCACCGCGTTTCACATCCAAACCACCTATCTCCAAATAAATTTCGAGCTGATCATACATTATCTTTTTTGGGTACGGCTTCCAATCGATCTAGAAAAGCTCCAATTTCTTGCGGGGGTCCCGAGCCGCGCAGGAGGAGCTTGAGCTGCAGGTGGGGGCCGGTGCTTCTGGGTTCGCTGAAAACAGCCCCGTTGACTTTCGAGGGATGCTATTGATTAGTTGACACATTACAAGAAAACTCAATGTTTCTTTTGCTGAATTATGCCAATGTTGAGGAAACAGGGCATGTTTGAACCAGGAAACTGGGATGATATATGGGAACCCTCCAAGGCGGATGGGCTTTTGACCGTTGGTCCGAGGTTGGACAGGGCAACTGCCACTGGATTTTCCATTTAACCCTCACCCTACCAGGGCACAGTTGGAGCTTGGCCCAGGTGATTTATTCTACACGCTGGACAGCACTTCGTCTCAGAGGGGGTAGTGGTGAACCCTAAATGCCACATGGGGGGCCTCACCAACATTGCCCATTGATTGCCTATCCCTTCAGAAGGGAAGAGGGCACCCATACATGAGATCCAACTAGTCTTCAGGACTCTGCTTGGGGGCTTTCCTTTGATTTCTCGGTAGAACACTCCTCGACATCTTGGGATCCATCTTGGATTCCCTCCAAGCTGTGGTTTTTTCATGAAGCTTCCTCCAAAATGGTTGGTGCCCATAAAGTCCCCAATGTCCCAGAACTGGAATTGAGTCCCGAATGCGTTCTTGTCACTGAGTCATTTTTGTGGTGATTCCAGTTGCCACTATAGTTGTTCATTGGGGTTGAAAGGTTGGTTGCCTATGCGGGCAAAATGGAATCTCAGGGCAAATCATGGTCATAGCAAATAGGCAAACAGGGCTTAGGGCCGGGGGGGTATTACAAGGTGTCGACAAGCTCTTGGCGCCCTATTTGGTAAATTATCAAAATGATTTGGCACCTGGCCCCCCCCCCAGCATCCCATCTGCCAGGATGGGCAGGGCCTTTTGGAGGCACGTCTTCGGGGCTCCGGATGCACCCGGTGATTCGTTCAGTCGATTTGGCGAATCGAAACGGCCGCGCCGTTTTTGGCAACCAGCGGATGACGGCCATGAAAGTCATAGAGCATCAAAACCGATTCCCACTGGCCTGTTGAGTAGGTTGTTCTAACAAGGTGTATATTTCGGCCTGTTTAAACCTAGTGGAACCACATTGTACATGCATGTGGCCAACAGAAGCCATGTTTGACTCAGAAGACTTGGGACGCTTGGTACGAACCAAAGGTGCCGGCTCAGACGGCTCAATGAAAACACGAATAAGCGATCGGACGTACACTCGGTCTTTGTTGCGTCCAGGCTCAGCCAGCCGAAGCAAGGGAGGCAGGGAGATGCACGAAGCTCAGTGTTGGAAGGGTGTGTTTTTGGAGGAGACGGGTATCGTTTTGCAGCCGGTTGGTTTGAAGCCATCAGATTACGTGGAGTTCGGGTTACCAAATTCCAATGTCATTGGAGCACACAAGGAATATTGACCACGGTTCAGATGCATTCCGTTCTTTTCACCCATTCTGGTATAAACCACCCAGTTTCACTGGGGGTTTGGCAAATATTAATACACCAGCATAGAATATAGATAGGCACGTCCCCCTCTTTATTAAAGGTTAGAACCCCATAGCTTTCAGCTATCTGGGGACGGAAGAGAAAGAACACCTAGATAGCCAAGTTGCTGCTTTTTGCAGTCACTGTTGCTGTTTTTTGGGGTAAAGCGCATGGGGAAAAAAAGCAACTGAGGATCCAGGCACGTTGGAAAATGCGGGTCATGTCCAGCTCCTCGGTGCCAGGCGCACTGGCTGCGCCGTCTTGGCCGCAGGTGCAAAGCTCAGCCCGCGGCGTAGCTCGGTGATGCTGGTCTGGATACGGGTGGGTTGTCCTTCTTGGAGGAATTTCCGAAAATGGCGCAGCGGTGTTCCTTTTGTTTTTGCTGCTTCAAAATCGACAAAGGGGTGGTACCCTTCAAAAGAGACACAACCTTTTGGTAAGGACTCGAAAAAATCTAGGGCGGACTTGTCCATTCCTGGTCTTTCAAGAGAAAAGCGCAGGAAGGAAGCTGCTGTTTGTTTGAAGAGTGCGGTTGCAGCGAATGGGGAAATGTTCTCTGTGGGAAGGGCCCATCTGGAGGCGTTTTCAGAACCTGCACAAGGCGTCTTTGCCTTCATGGGGTGCCTTCGTGAATTTGCGTCGCACAGCCCCGTCTGTGGGGCAGAAGGTCAGTCCGCTCGGGGCGGACGTTGGGTTTTTAAGAGAGGGCGGGGGGCAATCGGACATATTTTGAAGGTGCTTGTCAAAGCGTTTGCAAGGCCCTCAAATTGAGCAGCTTCAACTAACTAGTCCTGAGTTTCGGACGCAACAGCCCCAATGCTCATCAATTTCAAGACTTCGAACCACCTCCAAAAGTGGATACGGACATGACTCCCCGCCTAAACGAGTGTGTCTTTTGTTGGAGGGTGCCTCTTTTCTGTAGTTTTCAAGGGAAGCCAAAAGGAAGCATCACAATTTTGGGTGGTCCAACATTAAGAACGACACCCCCAACTCAAATTGCGCCCGTCACCTTGTTTGGCAGCTTGCTTCGCCAGAAAATGCGCCATCGCCGTGCTGCTCCTGATAGTGCTGCTAGCGCCGGTGCCAGGCTTTTCCACATGGGGGGATTGGAGATCTCTGTGCAGAGTTTGTTTTCGTGGGAAGACTTCTCAGCGGTCTCTTCTAAAAGTATGTTATGTCCTGCACATGTTTAGAATATATCTATATATACATCACCCAGTGCTTCCAGTTGCCACTATAGTAGGCAACTAGGGGAAATGTAAAACCTAGTGGTGACCTACTAGAGTGGGAACTGGAAGCACAGGGAATCTGGACATCTGAATCGTGTACCCCTGGGACCTGAAGAGAGCTCGGGCACCCACAGGCTGAATCAAAATACACTTTGCAGGGCGGCCCCGAAGGGGGGAAGGTGCTGTCTTTCTGATTTCGTTTAGAAGGGATGCAGGTACGCGTATGGCTTATGGGCACTTTGGAAAGAGTCCCGTGGGTTCCCCGTGAGTGCCGCACAAGTCTGTTGGAGTTTAGGTTGGTGATGTGCTTGGCTCGTTTGACTGTATGAGCCAGGGATATCTCAGTTACTCAAAAGGGACCAGCATGGTTACGATCTTTAAAGCGGGGGTGGACGTCAAAAAACAAATCGGTGGATGTTTCATGCCCACCGGGCCTTTGAAGTGGTTGGCGGTTCCAACTCTGAACATCTATCTGTCAAGCTGTGAGGGTCCCGTTTTCTCGGTTGGGAATCGTTGGGTCCCTTGAAGCCAGCCAATGATTAGGGCCTTCCCCCCCACCATTTTTTTTCGCCATGACATCCAATCTGAAGCGTTTGAACGTGTCTCTACTCTGAATATTGAGAAGGTGGTCTCCAAGTGGAGTCCCGGACTCCCGGAACCCCCACAAAATCGGTGGTTTCCTTTGGCAAACAGGGGTCCCCCAAATAGGACCAAATAGAAATCACCCCAACGCATAGATTGTTGGTTTCCTCCTGGTTTCAAGCCAATTCACGTCTTGGATCGACAAGACATCCCTGGCGAAATGGGGTTCTCAACGCTTCAGGGGATGTGATTGCCAAATCAGAGGGTCTTTGGGACAGCCTTAAGCAAATGTCTGGCAAGTGGAACGTTTCCTCTCGCAACTGGCTCTAGTCAGTCAACTCTCATCCAGCCCCCCAGACCGCTGCTTTTTGGACAGCTCCTTGGAGTTGGACATGGGAACAAGCAGTTGGAGGTGGATGGAAAACTGGTCACTTGAGGCGTCAAAAGGACCCTGAGAATCGGACCGGGATTCGGAGCGATATCCCGCAGGCTTGGATTCGCGGAGCTTCTTGCGAGGCAGTTTGGGGCGTGCAGGGATGGATGTGAAGACTGAGAAGGGAACTCGTGATTGTTGTTTTTGTTAATCACCAAACTTGTTTTTTTGGTGTGTTGTTCTGAAGGTACCCTTTGCAGGAAAGCAGGGCCTGCATTCTAGGGTCACTAGGTTTTGGTCACATTCCGTTGTCAGTGGCCACGAGGCTACTTACTCAGTTGTTGTGATCCAATCCAGTTTTGGTGTGACGTACCAAATGTCAACCTTGGCCTTGCGGTTGAGCAACAGGTTTTTCTCCCACCAGGTCCCACATACGACAGGGTTTCGGCCACCAGACTCACAACTTTTTGCATCAATTGGGGGATGCCAAGATCGAGCCTTGCGTCAGGGCCATCTTTTGGGACCGGGGAACTACCACAGCCTCAACCACTTGCGAGATATATGGGGCCTTGGTTTTGTTTAGTCTTATACCCAAACAAAATGCGGTGGTGCTGTGCTGTAAAACCAACCATAAAAAAGCCTCAAAAACAGACACACCCAATTCATGGGGCCGTTTTTGCTCTGGGCTTTTCACCTTGCATCCGGAAACGAGCGCGAGTCGCGAGGCCTGCTGCAGAATCCTGGCGTGAGGAGTCTAGAGGTGGAGCTGCCCCTCGGAAACCACTGATTTGGAATTTCAAAGGCTTCGAATGTGGGGATTTCAAGCTGAATTGGTGTCCGGTGTTCGCTTAGGGCCCCTTTCCTTAGGCCCTTCCTTTATACATGGAGTTGGTATTGGAATCGTGAGACCCTGGATTGGCCTCGATACAATCGAAACTTTGGATTGTTCTTTCATTTGTGCGGGGATCTTTGGAAGCTACGAGCAAACGGCCCAGTTTATAGCTGGGGGACCCCCAAAAACGAAAGTATATATGACCTCTTTGCCGCCAGCACGTCGAACCCACCACAAGCGCCACCGAGAGAGAAACATGGTCTTTCAGAGAACTCCAATCAGTGCTCAAGCTTCTTTAGGAGGTGCTTGCAGAGGTCGCATCAACGACAGCCTCCCACTGAGCAAGTGCCGACAAGCTGCTTTTATCACTTTCTTCACACGGATGATTGTCAGAATCATGTGGTTCTTTGCGATTTCTAGGGTCAATCCCCCGGTTCAACCCGTTGTTCTTTCAACAACCAGCCGTTTCCACCGGGATTTGGGTGGGTCAATCAAGCAGATTGTTCAACCCAACTATCGGTGGGTTAAACGCCCAAGAATTCAGATATGAACTTTGTTTCCAGAAGAACACCTCGAGTTCCAATTAATTGTGCTTTGGCGCTTTGGATAGGATTGCTTATGTGGGTGTCACGCTTATGTAGGGGACCCCCAAGATGTTGGTCGTCCTTTTGGTTTCTCGTTCAAACCCTCCAAAAAGGGTACCTCTCGCCTCAAGAAATCTAGACAAGGCACAGCCCCTTTGCATCCGAATCGATCCGAGGCAAGGTGCGAAAGACCTTCCGTTGGTGCAGTTGGGCCACATCAGCCGATCGGCGACAGAGTCATTCGCTTGGGATCGATCCGACGGAGTCTAGGGAGCCACTCCTGTCCGAACGGACCAAAGCAACGGGGTAGACAGTTGGAAATCGGTCCACTGGTTTTCTTTGCCAATTTTCTACCTGCCGGGCTCCCAAGGGAAGCAGCAAGAAAAGACATATAAACCACACGTTGGCTGTTTTGCTTGCTTTCAACATTTCATCCAAAAGGGTATCAGGTTCGATCTGGGGCCCCATTGATATCGGCAATTCAGAAGTGAAAGTTCCTACACTTGGATAAACAGAGATTTTGCACAGATATCTATTGTCCAGTCAACAGGATACATCAACATGTCTCCGAGAGGCCGAATCATGTGAAAGCATGCCTGACAGAAAAGGGGACAAAGGCAGACCGTCAGACTCCAAAAGGATAGCTGAAAAGAATGTTGTCGCCAACGAAAACGGGAGATTCTTGGTTCGTACTTTCCCAAGCCAATTTCCAAATCACAGGGTGGCTCGTCTTTTCTTGAGTTGGTATACCTCTTTTTGGTGTTTTTTTTAGGGAGGCCAGAAGGAAAACCGCGAAATCTTGGGAAGCTCCAACCCCAAAAGAAGGCGAGTCACAAAGAAATCGAGGCGACGCGGCGGGAAGCGTGCTGTGCGTGGTGGACGTGGCGCGGAGCGGGGAGTCGTTGATGGGCATGCCATGGTCTGTTTGAGTGGGGGTGGGTGGGGGGGTGGGAGGGGGGGGGGGGGAAATTGGTTTGGGGGTGTGGTGGACTGTAGAACCATCATCACGTTCGCGAGTTTCGCAAGGAAACACCAACGTGTTGTGTTGTAGCCATGGGAAAAGAACCGGGACTGCTTGCCCATTCGGTGTATCCACTTGGCGCTTTGTGAGCCGCTTACAAGAGCCGTCAAGCAACTGGAACTGACTCGAAGGTGGCAGACATATTTGAAACAAGGAAGGCCCAACATCTTGGAGGTAAGGAGGTGACGAACTCACGAGGGGAAAAAGAAAAAGGCAAGAAGCAAACTGTGTCCAGGAAAGTACCCTTGCAACTAGAATTCCCGTTTTTGTACGACTTAACGGTGTTTTTTTTGCGTGTCGTTTCAAGGAAAACCGTAAACCACTTTCGCGGTTTGTTCACAAGGGAAGGCGGGGAACCGCTCGCTTGCATCTCTTTCATGGTGCCCATGTCAACTTCCACAAGCTTCGGGTTTATAGGATCCACCGCTGTTTGGTTGTCGTTCCCAGTTGGGATTTTCTTGGTGGCTCCCAGCCATCCCCTTAGCCTCTTAGCTTTTTTAGTGTTTAGTGGCAGTTTCCATTTAACCCACGAAAAGTTAAGCTTTTAGAGGGGGATCTGAAGGCAGCCCAGTTTTGGTTGCATGGGTGAAAAAGCCGTTGGGACCCGGGCGCTGGTCCGCCTTGGGCCACCTTGTCGGGCTTGGATTATTTATACGCTGACGCGACACAGCCGGCCACCGGGCACCCCTTCCCGTTCTTTGATTTCCTTTCCCTCCAAGTCCTGCTAGTTTTCGGGATGATTTGAATGAACTTTTCCTTTGCATGTCTTCCCTGACAGTTTCCTGGCATGTCCCTTCATTTCCTTGAAGACTCCTTTATACGCATTCTGTCCGGTCCCCTTCACGTTCTGCCCTTGCATTTTCCTGCATCTCGGTTTCTCTCCAGTGCCCTCCCCATTTTTCGTGCCATTCCTTTGACTTTCATTTTGTTCACTTCCAGTCACTCCTGCTTCCTTGCATTTCCCATCAACCCCTTGTTTCGCATCGCCAGCATGCATAGCATCATCTGCATCATCCGGAATGATGCTGGCAATGCTGGGGGTGTTGTCCAGCATTAGGCACCCCCCAAGAAGCGCTCGTTTTGTGACTCTGCGGGGAGATGCTACAAAACTCCTCAAAAATCGCTTAAACAAATCCGCAAATCCTTCGCCCCTTATAAGGGAGGGCCCAGCATAAAACGTATGCGCATGTTCTGCGCATGGTCCGCGCATGGTCGGCGGCATGGGGCGCGCGGCCTTATACCTGAAGGTAAGCCCTAACGGGCTTTGGCCTGCGGCCCGATCACGTCCGGTGGCCGGATTTAAGGGCTGCCGCCCAGTGCCGCCGACCCCTCCGCTGGGGGCCAGCCCAGGTTTTTTTTTGTTCTGGCAGCGGCTTTTGGCTGGTTCAGGCTTGCTGGCTTGCTGGCTTGCTCGCTCGCTTGATTGTTTGCTTGTTTTCAGCGCTTTTCCAGGCCGCGCTCGTTTGCCCACACAGCGAGCACCAACCAAAGGAGCGCTATATGGAAAGTAGACAGCAATCGGTCCCCAGGGCGCAACCAGCAAGAACAGCTTCGCGTCCAGCGCGCTTGGAGGCCGCACTCGCTTCGCTGCAGCGAGCACGAACCAAAGGAGTGCGCCGGCAGCCTGCTCCGCCGCGGCCGAGTGCCTAACGTCGCATTAGAGTCCAACATGCAGCAAAGCTATCGGTGCAGAGGGAGCGGCCAGCCACAAAAGCTTCGCTTCCCGCGCTTTTCCAGGCCGCACTCGTTTGTCCACAGCGAGCGCCAACGAAAGGAGTGCGCCGGCAGCAGAAAGGAAAAGGAAAGCAACCAAAGGAGTGCGCAGAAAAGGAGAAAAAGGAAGAAAAAAGGCCGTACGGGCGGGCCGCGAGAGAGCTTCAGCGCTGAAAACTGTGCCCTGCAGGTGTTCGAGCGCTGTTTTAGGCCGCACTCGTTTGCCCCCCACAGCGAGCACCAACCAAAGGAGTGCGAAGACAGGCCGAACGGGCTGGCCGTGACAGAGCTTCAGCGCTGAAATCTGCGGCCAGCAGGGGTTTGAGCACTCTCGGCCTTCTCAGCTCAGGGGTAGTTGGTGTAGCGGCATCACACCCAGCATGTGAGAGGGCGGGCTCAATCCCCGGCCTGTCCATGCCCATGCGCGCCTGCGTCTGGGACAGTCTGCCGATCCCTGCTCTTCTTTCCTTTGGGTTTGCTGTGCGTCTTGCCAAGGGCGGCTGTTTCCACCGCGGCCGGGTGCCGAACGTCACTGTAGAATCCTATACAGAAGGTAGAAAGCTATCGGTCCCCAGGGCGCAAGCAGCAAGAACAGCTTCGCGTCCAGCGCGCTTGGAGGCCGCACTCGCTTCGCCGCAGCGAGCACGAACCAAAGGAGTGCGCCGGCAGCCTGCTCCGCCGCGGCCGGGTGCCTAACGTCGCGGCTGAGTCCAATATGCAGCAAGGCTATGGGTCTAGAGGGAGCGGCCAGCCAGAAAAGCTTCGCTTCCCGCGCTTTTCCAGGCCGCACTCGTTTGTCCACAGCGAGCGCCAACCAAAGGAGTGCGCCGGCAGCAGAAAGGAAAAGGAAAGTAAGAAAAGGAGTGCGCCGGCAGCAGAAAAGCAGAAAGGACGAAAAAAGGCCGGACGGGCGGGCCGTGACAGAGCTTCAGCGCTGAAAAGTGGGTCCTGCAGGAGCTTGAGCGCTTTTTCAGGCCGCACTCGTTTGTCCACAGCGAGCACCAACCACAGGAGTGCGCCGGCAGCAGAAAGGAGAAGGAAAGAAAGGAAACGAAGAAGAACAAGAAAAAGGGGAAAGAAAGAAGGCTGGTAAGGCACAGGGCTGAACGGGCGCGGGCGAAAGGGAAGGGAGAAGGCTGCCACAGTCACGCTCCAACGCTAAACGAACACTCCCCCAGCGCCTTCCCCTTGCAGGCAGGGGGGTCGGCGGAGATTCTACATGTATATATAGAGATATAGATATGTATATGATGCACATATATATGATGCGCAACATGCATTTGTGTATGTATATCTGTAGACGTGTGTGTGAAGGCAGCATGTAGTGTGTGTGTGTGTGACAATGTGCGCGGGCTTTAAAGAATGAAGCCCAAGGCGCTGAGTTGTGGACGTTGCAGGTGTTGAAACAGAATTTGCTGGGCCAAAAAAGAAGCACATCAAATCCGTCGTGTGCTCTGCTGCACGGTATCTAGGAGGGACGAGGTCGGGAGGCGGCGGTATCCATGACAGCAGAAAAGTTGCCGAATGATTCTTTTCAGGGATCGTTTGACGGGCAAGAACTGGAGTAGCAGAGTAGCAGTTTGAAGGCTCGCGGGCGCGCTTCACGTTTTGTTCTCCACATACCTAGAGTTGACCCCGAAATGGAGTCAGCAATGGTTCACAAGCTAACGTGCATCACGCTGCAAGTTATCAATTTTATTCGCCCGCTGGGCCCGGTGGCTCGCCAGCAGCGGTGAAGTAGTTCTGGGCAGCAGCATGGAGCACAGCTTGGGATCGGAGCAGGAGGCCGCTTTGGCAGAGGAGCCGCAAGGCGTCTCGCCGAAGAAGCGGGCTCGCGTTACGACGCGGCCGGGCGCTGACCCGCCCGTGCTCCGCGCGGCGGCGGATCTTCGCACGGCGGGCCAGGGCACGGTCGTCAGCGTGGAGATGTACATCATTGAGGTGGGCGAGTTACGACAGGTTGACACGAAGAAGGCGGGCAGTCCGTGAGTTAGGGACATGTAGGCGGGATTGGCAAAGGGGAGCTACTGTAGCTAGCTCGAGTAGAAGAATGAGTGAGAAGGGGTTGTCAGGGCGGTCGCTGCGAAAGCGCAGCAGATCATGGATATGGATGGGTGACTGGGGGTTGGCATCGCTGGCCAAGAAGGGTGGCCTCTCACCACCTAAAAGCATTTCATCCTAGGACCAGCGTTGGCTAATTTTACCTCAGACCACCCCATTTTATTCAGAACCACCCATTTTCTTCTGCAGAGGAAATAAGCATGTCTTTCCGCGTAGCAAGTTCAACAGTGCCAGCTTGAGGGCACGGCGATACTTTCGACTCTGGCCCCCCTAGACGCGCGCAACCATTTTAAGCGCGCTTGCGGCGCGGGGTGCGGGCTGGTGCAGGGCCAGAAGAATGTGGTCACGGTGACGCTCGCGGAGCCGGCAGGGGTCATTCAGGCCGTCGGCTGGGGGGACACGGCAACTCTCCTACACCGCCAGTCCTTACGCGCTTTGGAAGCTGCGCCGGGATCTGCGTTTCCCCTGGTTTTGCTGACTGGCGTGGCGGTGGACCTTGGCAGCGCCGTGGAGCGGCTGAACACCTTGGCAAAGGCGCAGCTGACTGTGATGAGGCGAGGGCGGGGCTGTGCGGACATTCGGGCGTGTGCTTGTCGTCCTGCGGAGTATTTCTGGCTTTGTGTCTTTGTCGAGGCACCATGAAGGGTGCGTGCTAGCTGTGGGTGCGAGGGAAGTGCGGGGCAGGTACGAGGAGCTGACGATCAAGGCGGAGAACGTCCAGAAGTCCTTGCAGGTCGCTGTGGATGAGGCGAAGAAGGTGCAGGGGGCGCAGGGCTACATGATTCACATGAGCGGCCAGATTCAGAACCTGGGTGATGTCCGCACCACCCAGAGGGACTCGTCGCTCCGCGGCGCGAGCTTGGTGGACGAGGCCAACCGGTGCCTGAAGCTGGCCTTGCTTGGCGGTTGGGCCGAAGATCCTGGGGTGAAGGCGAGGGGTGCATGGCGGCATGCTTCGGCGGTTGTGCGTTGCACTTGAGCGGTGTGTCCTTTCTGGGGCATGTTGGTTGTGGGTTCCTTTTGGAGGAGGCCAGTGCTACGTGGGCGCGCGGCCATTGGGGGGTGTCGCTGCAAAGACAACAGAGTCACGTTCG